ATAATAGGATGGCATGACAAGACTGAATGTTTTAACCTAAAATCAACTTAGATCACCCTTAACATGTACAAAGATAAAATTAACTGAAAATGACACACTCGCACATGCACACTCCTAGGGTACATCCCACTTGGTTGCCTTCGTACGCGGTCATTGAGTATAGGTCACTTTAGAGGTTGCCCTCTTGTCTAAAAGATCATAGTCGCCTCGAAATGGTTGCCTCGGATATTGTTGCCTCAAACCAATGATCTAAGACATTAGGGTTACCGCTAAGGCGTCCTAACATTGCTTTAGTGACCGCATGTCCCTCATTCAAATTGACCCTTAAGCTCTAACGATGGTGTTACCCACTCATTAATAGTGGGATAACATTATCTAAAGGACATTAGCATATAATGATTCCTGTTTCAAGTAGGTAGATGGTTCTTAGATACTTGCTCTTTCAAAAAACAAAAACTTTTAGCACTTACACTCCTTTTCAAACAAAGTTTTCAAAAACACTTCATACGCTCTTGAGGACAGAAGCAAGAGTTAAATCGAAGTTTAAAACAAAAACTTTTTCAAACCCACAAGCACAAAGAAAACAATTTTGAAAACAATGAGCAAGTACCTAAGAGCCCGTGGATAACCACAGATAGAAAGGGTGCTAACACCTTCCCTTTCTATAATCCACCCCCCGAACCTGAGAAATATCTCGAAAAAGGAATTTTTCTGTGCTTTTTTCCTTTCCTTGTTGGATAAAATAAAATTCGGTGGCGACTCTTGCTTACCGCGACATTTTGCAAAAACAAACGCAAAACGCAAACCAGCATTCCAAAAAAAAAACAGTCAGTTCTTCCCACCGTATCACACTTCTCTTATAGTATTTTTGGGTCTTCCTCTTCCACGAATTGTTTGTCTTCTATCCATCTGGTCTACTCTCCTTACTACAGAGTCTACATGTCTTCTCTCTACATGCCAATACCACCTAAGTCTATTTTCCACCATCTTCTCTACAATAGGATACTCCAAAACTCTCTCTAATAATTTCATTTCTAATTTTATCTTGTCGAGTCTTACCACACATCTACCGCAACATCCTCATCTTTGCTACACCTACTTTATTCTCGTGTTGGTTCTTAACCGCCTAACATTTTGTTCTGTACAAAATCGCAGGTCTTATTGCAGTTCAATAAAACTTTCCCTTTAGCTTGAGCGGTACCTTTGCATCACATACAACACCCGATTCCTTTCTTCATTGCATCTATCCAGCTTGAATACAATGATTTACATCCCCTTCTATTTCTCCATCATTCTGTATTACAGACCTAAGATATTTAAACTGTGTGACTTGAGGGATAATATGGTCTCCTACTTTCACCTCTAAGTTAGCAACCCTGCTTCTTTTGTTGAACTTACATTCTATATACTCCAACTTAGTTCTGCTTAGGCAAAATCCATGTGTTTCTAAAGCTCATATCCAAGTTTTCTACCTCTCATTTAACTCCTTCCTCAACTCTCCAAGGAGAACTTTATCATCTGCAAAAAGCATGCATCTCGGTTCTATCTCTTGGATTTGTTCCACGAGTACATCCAAAATTAAGGTAAAAAGGCAGAGGCTTAGGGTTAACCCTTGATGCAAACCAACTGTGATGGAAAAATTGTTCGTCTCTCCATCCCGTGTCCTAACACTAGTCGATACCCTTTCATACATATCTTGGATAGCTCGAATATATGCAACCCTAACCCCTTTATTCTCTAGAGCTTCCACATAACCTCTATAGGCACTTTATCATACACCTTCTCCAAGTCAATAAAAATCAAGTGCAAGTCTTGTTGGTCAATTCGATATTTCTCCATCCCCGTTGTAATAGATAAATCGCTTCCATGGTCGACCTTCTCGGTATAAAACCAAATTGAATCTCAGTAACTTGAGTCTCTTTTCTTAATCTCCGTTCAATCACTCTTTCCCATAATTTCATGGTATGACTCATAAGCTTGACTCCTCTATAATTTGCACAATTTTGTATATCCATTTTGTTCTTATAGATAGGAACTAAAGTGCTTCTCCTCCATTCATCCGGCGTGCGTTTTGACCTCATAATTTCATTAAAGAGTTTGGTGAGCCACTTAATACCTCTATCTCCAAGAATTTTCCACACTTTAATAGGTATGTTGTCTGGCCCCACTGCCTTACTGTTACTCGTTCTTTTCAATGCTTCCTTTACCTCCTATTTCTGAATCCCGACGATAGTAACTATAGTTCTTATCCTCTTCTCTTATGTCTAGTATGCTAGAGTCATACTCATATCCATCATTAAATAAGTTATGGAAATATGTCTTCCACCTATCCTTTATATTTTTTTTCCTGCACTAAGACTTTGCCTTCTTCATCCTTAACACACTTTACTTGATCCAAATCTCTAGTCTTTCTTTCTCTTCCCTTAGCAAACCTATATATAGATTTTTCTCTCCCCTTGGTTCCTAGAGATTGGTATAGTCCATCAAAAGCCTGGGTTCTTGCTTTACTCACCGCCTTTTTGGTTTCATTTTTAGCTATCTTGTACTTTTCCCAAGTTTCAGAATTTCTACACCTAGACCACTCTTTAAAACAGTCCTTTTTTACTTTAACTTTTCTCTGGACACTTTCATTTCACCACCATGATTCTTTACCCCTAGGTCAAAAACCTCTATATTCACCCAACGTCTCTTTAGCCATTTTTCTAATCTCTTGGACCATCTTGTTCCACATATCATTTGCACTTCCTTGTGATTGTCCAAACCATCCCTCATATATCTTTTGTTGGAAAATTCCTTGTTTCTCACCCTTCAAATTCCACCATTTGATCCTTGGTGCTACCATATGACTTCTTCTCTTTGCCCTTTCTTTAATTACTACATCGATAACCAAAACTCTATGTTGGATAGTCCAACTCTCTCTCGGGATAACTTTACAGTTCAAGCAATACTTCTTATCAGACTTCCTGATAAGAAAGAAATCTATCTCAGAACATGTCCCTCCACTTTTATATGTGATAAGATGTTCATCTTTTTTCCTAAACCATGTATTGGCTATAGAAAAATCTAAAGCCGACGAAAACTCCAAGATGAATTTACCCTCCGCATTCACCTCCCCTAAACCAAGACCCTCATGCACACTCTCAAAACCTCTTGCCACGCTACCTACATGTCCATTGAGATCCCCTCATAGGAAAATCTTCTTTCCTCGGGGTATCCTGAAGTACCCTTCTAAATCCTCCCAAAATTTTACCTTAAGGTGTTCTGCTAACCCAACTTGAGGTGTGTACCCACTAATAACATTAAAGGTGTCTTGTCCCACTATAAATTTCAAGGCTATGATTCGATCTCCTAATCTTCTTACATCCACAACATCCTTCTTCCACTCCTTATCCACAATAATCCCCCTATTTCTTGATCTAATTTTTCCATTATACCAAAGCTTAAATCTTGAGTTGTCTAATTCTTTCGCTTTTTCACTTGTCCAGTTAGTTTCTTATAGGCACATAAAATTGATCTTCCTCCTTACCATAACATTCACTATTTCCATAGATTTTCCAGTGAGTGTGCCTATATTCCATGAACCAAAGCGAATCCCCCTTTCATGAACTTGCTTCTTTATCCACACCCGTTCACGAAAATGTAGAAATCCTTGCTTATTTTTCACTACATCGGGGCGGCGATGCAACGACCCTTACTCTTTTGACACTGTACTCAAGTCATACAACGTGTTGCTCACGGGAAACGACATAATGATCAATACACAATTCAGAAAAAATATTTGTTGAATTACAACTCTATCAAAACAAACAACCTATATACCTTCGATATGAAATTTAGGTGTTATAGAGGCGCACAAATAGGAGCAATTACAAATACTCAAAAAACAAAATCTAACACTCAAGATATAACCGTAGCTCGTGTCTTCAATATTGTTAAGAGGAATCTTTATATAATAATTCACCTGTTGGGCTTTTCTTTAATGGGCAATATATTTGAGAAAGTCAATTTTGATTTAGATAGAGATTTGATTTGCTTTTCAAAACAACCACCAAGATATTTGGTTTGATTTAGGACCCATTTGTTTTAGCTTATTTTTTAAAATGATTTTTATAGTGTAACCTAATTTTGTGTAAAATAATTTTACAAAGAAACTTTTCATAAAAGCTTCAAATGAAAATTTTGTTTGAATAATTATTCTTAAAATGTTATTTTAGATATTTTATCATTTTATTAAAACTTTTTTTTTGGATATCAAAGTTTCAAAAAATCACTTAATTTTGAAACTATTTCAAATAGATTTTCATAAAAACCATTTTTAAAATACAACTTTTTGAAAAAATTGTAATTTTGACTATGTTTTGATCGTCAGTTATGTATATTTATGTTATAAGATGTCAAAATTAGTGTTTTAATTTAGAAAAAACGAGTATAAAAAAACTTGTAATATTTTGAAAAACAGTTTTATAAAATCTATTTTAAAAAATACAAAGAAAAAAAATCCATTTTTTTAAAATTGAAACAAACAGGCCCTTAATCTTCATTCAATTTAAATCTTTATATAATTGAATTTAATCTTATTAATTTTTTTAGAAAACCTTACTAAATAAGATATTGCTAAAAGATACAACAGCATATCTCTTTAGAATCAATCATATCTTTACTCATAATAGCTCACAAAAATCTTAGCCGGATGACTTTTAAGACCAGCACATATGCTAAAACATCTTATCTCACATATTATATCTTCACCAAAATGCATCTTGTATTATCTATGTTATTTTATCTAATGTGCCAATCAAAAGAAACAACAAAAGAGATTGTATTACTTTGATAACTCATCAAGAATGGAGTGAATTTGATCTTGTTCCAAGATGGAATCTCCAATTACAAATAAAGAGTTGGCAATACTGAAAATAAATACTCAAAACATGTTATTTCCTTTCATGGTTTCACCGTATAGATGGAAAATCGAGTTATTAAAACTTGCTCTTGTTACTAAGTTATCCTAAAAAATCAACAGAACTTGTAATTGTTTGGTTTGCGGAATCAGATTCAAAATGAGGTGAGTTGATGCTAGGAACATCTTCAAGAGGACTCAAAGGAAGACAAGAACTATGCAACTGCATGTCACAAACCAATTGTCGAAGCTCCGAAGCTTGTTCTTTCAATAGAACATTCTCTTGAACAACTCTATCACGAGACTCCGAAAAACTGTTCAACTTATCTAGTAGTTGACGATTCTCATTTCTCAGCCAAACAACCTGTGACCAAAGCTCATCAAGGTGTTTTTGTTTCCTCATTCGCGAGCGGCGCGCTGACTCGCGATTCGATATCATTCTCCGATGCTTTCTCTCGTTGATTAGGCCTTTGTTTTGTTCGTCCGCTTCGTCGGAGGTTGAGTTATTGCTTATGCATGAGGATTGAGGACTCAAGTCTTGAAGAATAGGGTTTTGGTTGAAACCATAGAGTTGGTTGGAGAATGTTTGGATTGTGTTTTGGAACATGTTGTAGTTGCATGATGATGGATAAGGTGATGGATTGGAATTTGGGAGTAAATAATTGAGTTGTGTATTAAATTCTTTTGCTTGCATGGTGGAGGAATGAGTAAAAGATTGTGGATAAAAATTGTTGGTGAGTATAGAATATGATTGGATTTGAAGATGGAGGGAATATGAGTGGGACTAGTTGGTATATATAGGGAGGGAAAATGGTGAAATGACCTCATTAAAAGAAATAGCTTTTAAACTAAAAACTTCTTTTGATCCTTTAAAAAAAAGTTTATTAAAGTTAAATAGGCTAATCAATCAAGCAAATTAAACATAGCTTTATTCATTTACATGCACATATATAACATACATATTCTTATCATGTGTTATGTATGCTATGAGGTTGATTGAACAAACTATGTATATGGTTAACATGTTACATATATATGGATTATGGATAATCACATCCACAACATAAGTGACGCAACGTGTGGAAGAGGCAACTTGGTTTAGTGGATAATAATCATTTTTGGACAAAAAATATGCTTACATCATATAATTAAACTTAGACAAAGGCATATCATATCATGGGGAGTATAATAATTCAATTGGAAGACTATTTAAGCAAAAGTAGGTGCTGAGAAGTCAATTTGTTATTTATGTGGAGGTGCGTAATGTGCTATTTTAAAGTTGGTTCTCTTTTAGATAATGGACATGCTTGATTAAATGACATAAGAAATAATTGGATTTAAAAAAAAATAGATATTGGAAAAGACATGATACTAGTATCTCTCAAATTATAAGTTATTGGATTTTAAAAAATACATATTGGAAAAGACATGATACTAATATCTCTCAAATTATAACTTTATTCTTTTTAAATGAAACTTAAATTAATGTTTTAGGTTGGTCAACGACTATAAAGACTGACTCAATTTAGTTAAGATGGTTATACGTACACGTGGACCTTTATTTATAGATATTGTACATTAACATGTCTCTTTTTTATCAGAATCATTGATTTGCATTCAACGACTATCCACATTTTACGCTAGACAATCTAAAGACGATTGTAATCGTTCCTCTAATATAAATATGACTTTGAGTCACAACAAGATACGATTAAACTCATACTTGAAAAGTTTCACCTTAATCTTATACTAATTTGAGCACCATACTTCTAATATTTTTTGTAGGTATCCTATCCAGTCATAGAGAACTGTCACCAGCGTACCAGAAGCATTTTCACGGTGGTTATCTTTCACTTACCAACCATTCGTAATTCCAGTACAAAATAATTATGTTGTGTGTGAGAATCAGTTTTCTTTGATTCTGTTGAATTTCTTTAATTTTTTATTGTAACTAAATTTAATTCCACCTATGATGGTTGGTTCAAAGTCGGCCCGCGCCTGTAACATCGCCAACAATCACCACTTCCGATCATCCATTGATATTCTTCAAAACAACTCTATGATAATTCTTTCTCCCATCTTCGAAGAACATTCCCTACAACAAGATCCCAAAGCTTCAACGATGATACCTCAATCATTGCACTAAGAAAGTTGTCTAGTTCCTCCCTAGTAAGATCAACTTCCTCGTCCCCACATTTCAGTTCCCACGTGGAAGTATCTTTTCCAACAACTTCAAACCTCGTCTAGAAATGCCAATGTAAACAAACTCATACTGAACATTTCCAATTTACTACAACAACAATACAAGACACTTATATGCTTCAAAGAGAACCAAGAAAAAGTTGCAACTTAGAGTTTGAAATAGTTAAAAGCCCTACAACACGGCCATGCCGGAGCCATCCCAATGATCGTTCTTGTCAATGTTGATTTACAACCATCTAGAGCTCAAGAATTACCCCTGAGGTGTTGCCATACCATTGTGAAAGCTAGAGCCACCAAAACATTATTAGCCAAATTCTTCAAGAAAAACTTATCTTGGAGCTCAACTACACGAAGTAGTTGTCAAACTCAATATTGGTCGAGAATGAAAATGGAAAGTGTCGCATGTGCGTCAACTTCATCAGCTTGAATAAGTCATGGCTCATGGAAACATATCTATACCCAACATAGACAAGTTGGTAGACAATGTAGTGGTATATAAGATTTTGTACTTTATGGATGCCTATTTAGGATACAACCAGATCCCAATGCATGAGGAGGACTTGAATAAGACAACATTCATGATTGAACACACCAACTACATGTACAATGGTATGCCCTCCAATTTAAAAAATGCAAGTGAAACCTACTAGAGAATGATGAAAAATATCTTCAAGGGTGATATTTGAGACATGCTTGAGGTCTACATGTATGATATGTTCGTCAAATATAGGGAAGAGAACCTACACAAAAGCAACATTACCATCGTGTTCACGCGTGGTATAAAATTTAATATGAGGCTGAACCCGGAGAAATGCATGTTTAGAGTCAAGGCATTCTAGTTTCTTTTCTTATACATCGTTGTAAGGGAGCATCAAAGAGAATCTAGAAAAATGTGATGATATCATCAAAATGAGGACTCCCACTACCATGAGAAGAATTATGAAACTTAAATATTATTCTCAATAGATTCATCTTCCAATCCCCCCAACATGCACTTCCATTCTATAGACTCCTTAGGAAATAAATATTGTTTGATTGGACACTAAAGTGGGAAAAGACTTCACACTACTAAATAATATCCTCTTAAAACCCTCAGTCCTCTCTAGACCCATGATTGGGGCGATTTATTCGTCTACATGGTAGTCTCAATAGAATCATTCATTGATGTTTTTGTTAGAGATGTTGGGATGGACCATAACCTGCTCTACTTTAACTAAAAGGAACTACCAATACCCAAGATAAACTATCAAAATATAGAGAATATTTCTTTAACTTTGGTGGCAGCTTCAAGGAAGTTGTGCGAGACCTGCGTATTCTCGCACCCTCAATCGAAGAGTAATTAAATAGGGGCAGCTGTCATACCCCAAATTTTCCCCATCAATTTTAATGGTCATATTATTTCAATGCTACTATTTTTATAAATATCTAATCATATCGTTCAATTTAATATTTTGAATATTTTTTATGGGGGTTTAAAATTCATAAGAGAGGTGTTTGCTTTAAAATGGACCATCAAAGTCTGATGGACCATTGAGGGTTTTTACTCATTTCAAGTAATAAGAGGAGGGAGGCGCACTTTGATAATATAAGGGTGTGTTACTTAAAATGGGCCATCAAAGCCTGATGGTCCATTAAGGATTTGCAACTCTTTCTGAATCATAAGAGAGGGTGCACATTTTGTTGCTTTGAAGGCCCATTAGCTGCACGTGATCCAAAGTTAATTTATGACTTTTTGATCAATTAATTACATAATTATTTTGATTATTGTTTGCACTATTATTTAATATTATAATTATTATCATACTTTTAGTTATATTATTATCACTAATATTATTACTTTTCTTAAATATTATTATTGTTGTTAATATAATAATGATAATAATAATTATTAACTATTATTAATGATTATAATTTATTTTTTATATTATTTTTTCTTAACGTTTGACCAAAGTCAAAACAGGGCTAAAAACCCTAATTTTTCAATCTCGTCGGCGGTGCCCACTATTCATCATCAACCCTAATTCATATGCGGTCGTTCATCGTTCATCGTTCCTCTTCCTGGCTAAGCTACCCAGAATGCCCTAAGCAAGCCTGAAAATGGCAAAATCCAGAAAAAAACGCATGAATCAAAAGAAATCAAATCTTCAATAACATCTCAAATCCTGTAATTTACAACAAATCTAGAAATTTATACACAGAAAAGATACAATTGAATCAAATCTTTCCCTAATTTACAAAACCAAATCCTAATCTAATCTTCAATCTAAAATATAATGTACAATCAACAATTTTTTCCTAAAAAAATCCTACCTAAGCTATATAAACACTAAGGATCTAAGTTGAAGAGGACAAGAAAAATTTTAAAGAAGGAAGAAGAAGAAGAAGAAGTGATAGAGGAAGAAGGAGGGAAAAATCATGCGGCCGTAACCCTCCTCAGAGCCACTCCTTTAATCGGATCTAGGGATTCTGAACAGAAATCCTAGACTCTTCAAATTTGTTGCCGCTTCCATCACCGTCCTTCGAATACATGTAAAAGAAGACGAAAAAGTTTGAGAATCAGAGAAATATCGGAGGAAACACAAAGATTCAAGGCATCAGAGGTAATCATTGCGACACTTAGCTTTTTCTATGTTTTGGATTATTGTTTCGGTTGAGTTTATGAAGGAATAAGGGTTAGGGTTGCCTCCGTTTTGGGGAGGACGATTGAGTCAACCTAGGATTTTTAGGGTTGTGGAGTGTTGTTGAATGTTGTTGTTAGAGATAAGAGAGAGAGAGAGAGAGAGAGAGAGAGAGAGAGAGAGAGAGAGAGAGAGAGAGAGAGAGAGAGAGAGAGAGAGAGAGAGAGAGAGAGAGAGAGAGAGAGAGATAGATAGATAGATAGATAGAGAGAGAGAGAGAGAGAGAGAGAGAGAGAGAGAGAGAGAGAGAGAGAGAGAGAGAGAGAGAGAGAGAGGAGAAGAACGAGAGAGGCGAGAAATGAGAGAAAACGAAGTAAAAGAAAAATGAACAAGTTGTACTCCCTCCATCCTTTTATTAGAGGTGACACATGGCCAACATCTGGCCACGTGATCCCATGCATCCTCATATACACCCTCACCCTTTATCCTTTGTATCTGAAACGAACGTTCCAAAAAACCGTGTACCCACGATAGCCCCATACTGTGCCTGTACACAGTCCCAACACACCCAGGATGCCCTTGGGCTTCTTGACCAATTTTCTGGGCTTAAGCCTATGCTAATCACACCTCCAGTTTGTTTCTTTTTACTACGACAACATAATTTTGCACCCCCCGCGCAATTGGGCCAAATCCAATATCTGGATTTTGGCCCTGATATTCACACCCCCAGGATTTTACTAGTCAAACTAAATATACATCCCCTTTGCCTCCTAATTAATTTAATTTAATTTAATTAATTCTTTTAAAATATTTAGTTTTTCTTATTTTATTAATCCGCTTATTATCATATTTTAGCATTTAGCATTAAATAAGA